ACAATAAATTATCCTCCGGGTTGCTTTCACTTTTACGTCCTGCTTACTATGTAACTCATTGGGGATTTCGAAGGGTGTAAGTCCACGGTAACATCACTGAGGTCACCGTTACAACAAAAAGAATAACCATATGATGCGTGAATTTCTTGGTAAATCATACAGCCTTGAGGGGGGTTGTGTCTGTGGGGTTAATGGCTCCTAACTTCTGTCCACTAAGGAAGTCTTTGCCATTCAGCGTCCGAATATATTTAGTGAAGGGGACTTCAATAATCCTTGGTTTGTCCCTTCTAAATTTAGAATCATCAAACAGCATTGAATCAATGCTCTTTTTTTCCTAATGAACGCTGTTATTTTGTTTAAGAAAAAACGGGGACCAGAACCCTTGTTTGCTTTAGTGCTGAGTCATTCCTACTTTTTTGACATAATTCTTTGATCTTCTCCTGCTATTCTTGGGTGATATGCTCGAGTCTTAATTGTTATTTATAAACCGCGGAGTTTAGTCGTTTGAGAAAGGCTAGCAGGCAGTTCTAGGTCACACCGACTTCAAAACAGATAGATTATAAGACAGAGGAGGAAGGACTATTAAATGACACTCAAAGAGCAAGCAGGGGGCACGTTGGAGATGACTGATGGCTCGGTTTAGGCTCTAGGATTTATCGATAGCTGATTATAGGCAAAAGTTGGTGTCAGGTGGACACTGGAAAAAAAATTTCCAAAGTAAATGAAAATACATTCGAGTTGAATAAGTGGACCTGAAATGGGATACATTGAAGCAGCAGCTTGAAATTGAAACCGTGTATTAAAAAGAACTTGCGTTTAAGTAATGTAGAGCCCATCAACACGCAAAATCGCCAAAACCACTATCAAAAGCAGACCCAATCCCAAGTGAATATAGACCTTGTACGGTAAAACATACAAGCATACTATGCCAATGCGCTTAGATATTTAGGCTGCTAAATTTAAAAAATCTACCCATCTAGTGCACAATTCTTTATCTTCCTGGAAGGCTTTTTAAATTGAGCCGCCGTTGTTTCCTCCTTTCATTCGTATGTAAATTTTCTCATATTTACGCCGGATGGCCTACTTTGCTTATCATAAATCGATTTTTATCTCTCTTTGTTAATTTGAACTACAATTAAGTCATGAGTGCCCGATGTCACGACGCAAGCGCCGTTTTGAAAGCAGTCCAATTTGGCCTATATTTGACGATTTTGTACAGACATTTATCAACTATATCGAAAAGTTCAGTCATTGGCGATAATGGATTACTTTGATTTTCTCGTGTTGTGAGTTTGTGCGCCCAATCTATGCATTTTGAATGGAGGATGTTTTTTTGCTGAAAATTTTCGAATGATATTTTCAAAATCAAGCGTACCTCTCTTTCTCTCTTATTTTATCCTAAAGCCACAACTCGTATGTCAAGGCTCTGATGTCGTGAGACTGTCTACTCCGGGCAATGCATTCATTCTTTTCTCAGGTCATCAAGTGCGTGCGATTACGCCTTCTTTCCCAGTGTAAACGGCCTCCTCCAACAGAGAGATGCCGCAAGGACAATCACATTTTTTCGGACGCACAGACTTCGACTACAGCCTACCATGAGCATGTCCCCTACCTACCCCGCATCCCGGACCCCAACGTCGTCATGGAAACGACGTGGGAACGAAGAGGTGACGAACTAACTTCTCCCCCGAGAGTCACATAACCCCTGCACATATTTGACTGGTATATTCTCCATGTCAGTGTAACGACCTGAGGATGATTGGCCAAAAACAATGGTCTTCCAAATTTACTTTTTAAATTAATATGATTGACAGAGCATCACATGCGGAGTATGTTGGAAAATAACGCCTGTCTAGTTTAACTGCCTAAAAGATTATCTATTTCCAGTCGATCAGAGTCATTCCAATTTGGTCTTGGAGTAGAAGTTTAAAAGTACACTGCGTGCTGGGCGGACATCTACGTAAGACAGCTCAAGTAACTGTAACAGCTCAGTGACTGTAAGAGACAGAACTCGGTGGACTGAGTGAGAGATAAACGGCCTCTAAAATAAGGGCAATACTCTGTGTGCAGACAACTTGTAACGATGTGAAAAAAGTCAACTACAAACTGCAGATACACAAACCTGAAAAATAAACTCGGGTATAAATTGGCCAACATACGTCTGTTTTCGCTAAATTCTCGTCAGGCTTTTACATCTACATGTAAATAAATATAAGTAAATAAACTATATCCAAAAGGGTACGCGAACACATTCCAGCTTGTTTAAGAAAGGGTCAACAAAAGGGTATAAACAGTTCTATTCTAGCGAACCTGGTAGATTCAGACCATCAGGTGGATGCCAAAAAGACCTTCCGAATGATCTACAAGGTGCCCTCGAGTTATTCAAAATTCCTTAGACAGTGTTTGTTGGCTACGGCAGAAGCAACCACAATCAGGCTACGCCAACCGGTCCTGTGCGCCCAAAAGAACTCCGTCGCAGCACCGCAGTTACCATGGCCAAGAGCCGCTAATCCAACAACCAACAGCTTATCACCTCTCTCGGCTACCAGTCCCC